CCTGTAGAAGCCTGCATTTCCAAGGAAACTACGTATGTCTTTCACATTAGTGGGTGGAGGTAGATTTTCAATTACTTCCACCTTGGCTCTATCAACTTTAATGCCTTGTGACCCAACATTATTCCCTCGGTTACCATAAAATGGCATTTCTCCCAATTTAGTACTAGGTTGGCTTCTTCACATCGTTTCAGTACTTTAGATAAGTTGTTGAGGCAATTCTTAAAATCGTCGCCTGAGATGGAGAAGTAATCCATAAATATTTCCATGCATTCTTACACCATGTCCAAAAAATAGCCATCATACATCTCTGAAAGGTTGTTGGAGTGTTACATAGCCTAAACGACATTCATCTAAATGCATAGGTACCATATGAATATGTGAAAGCAATCTTCTCTTGATCCTCTAGTGCTATGTCTATTTGATTGTATCCTGAATATCCATCAAGGAAGCAGTAAAATGCTTTTCCTGCTACCCTATCAAGCATTTGGTCAATAAAAGAAAGGGAAAGTGGTCTTTCTTTGTGGCTTTATTTAGCTTCCTATAGTCTATACATATTCGACACCCTGTGACTATTCTGGTAGTTAATAGCTCGTTATTTTCGATTTTGACCACGGTCACACCACATTTCTTTGGCACGCACTGCATCGGACTGGCCCATGAGCTATCAGATATTGGATAAATTACTCTCGCATCCAGTCATTTTATGATTTCCTTAATGACTACCTTCTTCATGATTGAGTTTAGTCTTCTTTGTGGTTCTACCAAATTGATATGTCTTCTAAGTTGATATTGTGCATGCATATGGTAGGGTTGATTCCCTTCAATTCTTCCATGGTCCACCCAAGTGCTTTTTTATGTTGTGACAAAATATTTAACAAACTGCTCTCCTGCTCAGATATTAGACTGGCATAAATTATCACTGGTAAAGTCTCATTATTACCTAGGTAGGCTTATTTCAAATGTGATGGTAAAGTTTAAAGTTCCAATGTGGGTGCATGTTGTAATGATGATGTTGGGGGACTAATTTCATTAAAATCTAAGGGTTTGAATTTCATACCTGATCTAGCATGAAGGAAACTAGATTGTTCCTCTTATTCTCCTTCATTATCTGTTTTGGTGTCATTAGCAGAGAACCCGTTTAGTGCTTTATTCAAACAACTGTTACCAAGGCCATAGTTATCAGAATTGTCTTCTGAATTTTTTAACATGGGCCATGATTTTCGTGTTTATGAATCATAGACATCAAGTTGTGGCACAAAATGTTGTATTCATCTATCTTTACAAATTCATCTTGGCCAAGAATTGATTTTTCCTCTTCCTCCATTGAGTCCATGTCTCTAATGCATTGGCATTCCTCTGAATCGTCCACATATCTCATAGAGTTGAAGACATTGATTGTGACGCTTTGCTCTCCTACCCGCATTGTGAACTCTCCCTTCTAGCAATCTATTAAGATTCATCCAGTGGTCAAAAAGGGTCGTGCAAGGATGATAGGTGTGTTTTTATTGGCTTTGCATCCCAATATGAGGAAATCATTTTGAAACATGAATTTGTCCACCTTTACAATGACTTATTCTATTCTTCCCTCAGAACACACATAAGACCGATCAGCTAACTGTATGATAACTGTGGTTGGGAAAGCGTTATACCTTTCTAGTTTTAAAAATATGGATTTTGGTATGAAATTTACACTCGACCCTAAGTCAATGAGAGATCATCCTACAAAGTTGTTACCAATTGAGCATGGTATCACAAAACTACCAGGTTCTTTTTGTTTTGGTGGGAGTTTACTTACTGCAGAGTAGATTTCTGTTTTCGCGGCAACATTTTCTACATTTCTCTTCTTTGTGACAATGTCTTTTAGGAACTTAACATAGGAAGGCATCTGCTCGATGGCTTCAAGTAAAGGTACATTGATATACAACTGATCCAAACCATCGACAAATTTCTTGAATTGGATTTCATTATTGTGTTTCTTCAATCTTTGAGGAAATGGTGGTGGAGGTTTCACGTCATCTACTATCGGTGCTGAGGAAATGCTGGTCTTGGCCATAAATTTCCCATTATCTGGTTGACGATTTTCAGAGCCTTCATACTTTTCCTTCTCTTCTGACAGTTCATCATATTCAACATCTTCAACTCGATCCTTTGGTTAAGTAATGCCTTGGCTAGAATTTTCCAGTTGTTTTCCCCCAAACTTGTCATTCTGGTTAATCTGTGTCCCACTCCTTAATATAAGTACATTGATCTGTTCCTTTCCATGATGTTTAGTGATTTCAATATCACTACGGAGATTTCCTTGTGGTGAGAACGTAATTTGACCCACTTGATTCTCCAATGCTCTCAGGGATGAACTATGGCTTTGTAAAAGTGCAGCTTGACTTTGCAAAAAATTTCTTGGTTTTATATTGTTGATGAGTGTTCGTGCATCAGAGTCTTTGTTGAAGCCATGAAATCTTTTGTCGAGGCCATGAATTCTTGCAATGAAGCTTCCAATAAGTTAGAATTAGAGTTGGTATTAGAGGAAGAAGCTGTACTTTTAGCATTTTGCCAGGGCATCTGATGACGTTGATTCTGAAAATGTTGATGTTCCAAGTTACTTTGTTGTGGCCTATTATAATTTCCTACCTGATTGTTGTTCGTCCCTTGATAACCCATTAAAAATTAGGATGTTGTCGTCATCCATAATTGTATGTATTTGAGTAGAGGTTATTGTTGCTTCGATTGTAGTTGTCCACAAAATTGGTAGACTCATGGTTTTCTGGACATTCACTCTCATGATGGTTGTCGTGACAAAATATGCATGCATTACTAGTTGCTTTGACTTGTCTCACCTCATTAGGACGCTACAAATTTTTTAACATATTAGTTATGGCTAAAAGTTGAGCAACTACTAAATCCTTACCCTCAATTTCATATGCTCTAGATACTTTTCTACCAGTTCCCATCCTTGTATTAAGGAATTGATAGTCATTATTTACTATCCTATCGAGGATATCAAAGGCTTCCTCGGGTGATTTGTCAAGTAAAGTACCATTTGCTGAGGCATCCAACATCATTCGAGTAGATGCATTAACTCTATTGTAGAACATCACGACTTGAGTCTAGTCATGAAATACGTGGTTCACACACTTACAAAGTAGACTTTTATACCTATCACAAACTTCATACATTGACTCATCATTGCCTTGGCGAAAACTTGCAATATCATTGCGTAGCTGTGTATTCATATTGGGTGGATTGTATCGAAATAGGAAACTCTTGTATAAATCTGCCCAATATTCCATTGAACCGGAAGGAAGTCCACTTAGCCAAGCTCTCGCTATATCACATAGGGAAAATTTAAGTTTAAGCACATCTTCATGCACTCCTTGTTGTCGGAATGAATCACACACTTCAAGAAAGGCATTGATATGATGTCTAGCATCCTTATTAGGTGAGCCACCAAATTGACCGATAGAATTTAGCATGTTAAAAATCACCAATTTAAGCTCAAAATGGGTTTCTTATATTTCAGGTGCCAAGATGCATGGATTGAGATCGTCAAGAATTGGGTTCAAGTGATCTCATATTGCTCGTGGTCTTCTAACTTCTCTATGAAAATTGTTTACCGCTACATCAGGATCTGCCTGATCTCTCATAATGTTGCCTTGAAATTGTAGTTGGTTCATATGCTCTCTAGTTCGTTGGTTGCGTTGCCTTTGTCTGAAAGACTATTCAATTTCAGGGTCGAATGGATATAATGGTTTACCTGTAGATCTCAGGGTCATGCAATGATAAAACCTACAAAAGAAAATAAAAAAAAACTTTAAACTAAGTAAATAAAAGGTGACAAGAAAAACTTGTTATGGTGAAAAATAAAATTCCTGTCAGTTGTCAATCCCCAACAACAGTGCCAAAAACTTGATCTCTTGAAAATGTATATGCTAAGGCAAGCAATTATGTGAAAGTATATACAATCAAATCAACTAATATAGGGTAAGTGAGTTATCGTCTCCTCAAGGATTGGTCGATTCTTTTAAGTTTCACCACAACCAGAACTAGTTGTCACAAGCTAATTCCTGAAGTCTTGTCGAAGTAAAAAAATATTAGTAACAAAATAAAGCAAGAAAATAATATAAAGTATGGTTGCAAACAAGTTTGGTCAAGGCAAAATAAATATGCAAAACTATCGAATTAAAATAAATAAAGCAAAGACAATCATTGATTTAAATATATTCAAAACAACCTGACATATTCAGACTTTTCACAGAGCACTCATGCTAATTTTTTGTTATGACAAGAAATTATTCTAAGTCTAGAATGAATTGTTATGATATTCTTAAGCTTCCCGACAAGATTACTGAGTATTCTTAGACAGTTGTTATGGCAATACTACTCAGCGTTAACTACAACCATTGGCTTGTCAAACTTTTATTGTAGCAATACCCCTCAACGTGAACTATAATCGTTGTCCATCCTACTCTAGCGTCTATCCCTTTTAGTCAATTGAAACCCTCTCCTTATCTCTAAGGTAGATAAGTTAGAACACCACAATCCTAGATACATTCTATTCTTCACGTAGATCTATCTTAATTCTCTCGAATCTAAGAATCAATATCTAGACAAATGGTAATCTCTCGAAGCTCTTACATTGTCAAGACGTATTTCACCTAGACCCTAGGCAATCTCTCGAAGCTCTTACAGTGTCAAGGCAAAATATCTAAACAATGAACAAAACATTCATGAGAAAAATCATAATTCATCATTCATAAAACAGAAAATAATTGTTTCAACAAAAAAAATATTAACACCAAGTAAAGAAGTTCATGGTGTTGTCAAAAAGTCAACCAAAGTATCATCGTTTTAATACAACCCTAAGCAAAGTAAAGAAATTAAGAACAAAGGAAGAATGACTCCCAAAACATGGGGCTTAGACGTGACATCTCTGATCAACACCGCGCCTGCCCTGGCGGCTAGCCTCTCTTGAGGCCTGACCGCCGCTCTGCTATAGCCTGGCTATGGAGGACACCAAGGACGGTCGGTTGGAAAACGGTTGGGAAGCACTGCAGTTGCCCACTCACGCTTCAGTTAAAGCTCTTCTTACTTCTTCGCCTTCTCTTTTTGGCGACTGTGGTTGGGTATTTATAAAGGGAAATCTCCTAGGGTTTCGTTTAAGTGAAAATTCCCTAAATACCCGTTATTTTCTTGTCCAGACTAAAAAAGGAAATACGACTTGTTGTTTCCAGAATCTTGAGGGCTTGCTTGCATGTGAGGGTAGTTGTACAACGGGCATGTGGCATAGGCAATTCGTCATATCCGCTTCAGACTTACATGATAAACCTTGCCTTGGCGAGATAAATTTGCTCCTCATTATGTTTATCTTATCTATTACACTGGCCCTTGTAAAATACTTTGTCGTGACTGAAATGTTATTCCCTAGTTAATTTCCTGCACATACACAATCCACACAAGCCCTTTCTCATCGGCAGCATCAGTCAAACCAAAGAAATCCACCACAAACAAATATAACCTAAATACAACTAAATGCAACTAATATGCTATGAATACTTTGTTTAGACGAGCAATAACTTAAGTAAAAAGACTAGAAATGGAGTCTTTTTATAGAGTTATCATATCGATACCCTTCTCTCAGTATCGATACTACTATACTATGGTACCGATACTCCCTTTCAGTATCGATACCATTTTGACATTTTGGATCCATGGTATCGATACTTTTCCTTGTTAATATCAATACCCCATCAATATCGATACCACTTGGATCGGTACCGATATTGTTTGACCCATTTCTACCTATTTACACCTATAATATAGGTATTGTTCTATCAGTATCGATACCATTGCCCATATTCACCATTTTTCAGCTCGATTTTCACTTAATTTCCCCTATAATCTTATACTTTTACCTCCAAAAATACTATTTAACTTATCTTTACTTAACCCAACTAACTTTACTTAATTTTGCCACCTTTTACCTCAAACATCTTCATGGAACATCTAAACTCAAGAATCATATCATTTTCTAAACATGTTTTTAATCATATATCATGCTTGTAATCTCTTATTCAATCATTTGACAAGTCAATTCTACTAATAAACCTCAATAAAAACACATATATCAACATATCATTTAAACACCTATTTCTTTAAATCTCCTATAAAGCATCCACCACTTAGTTTTAATCTTCTTTTATCATTCCTTAAGCTTACATATCACTTAATGTTACCAAAGTAACCCATAATTTAAAGAAAGAACTAGCTAATGGAAGTTTACCTTATGCTAGAGAGGATAACAATACCCACGTGAGTGAAGAAGAAGAGTAGAAATGGTTATTTTCCTCTTTTTCCCCTATTAAAATCCCTAATATGGAATATATTAAAAATTCATTTACCCTCTTAAAAGACCAAAGTGCCCTCTTAAATTATCTATTGTTACAAATTAGTCTAAAAACTATTTAAAATCATTTCCTCATCTTTTACCACTTATTTAATAAATCTTTAAATTTTCAAATCTTTTCAATAAAGTCCATGACCTGCTATTTGGGGTATTACAATTCTCCCCCTTAAGAAAATTCATCCTCAAATTTAAATAAATACCTGGAGCAAAGAGGTAAGGAAAATGCATTCTCATGTTATTCTCTTTTTTCCAAGTAGCTTCTTCAACCTTATGATTTTGCCAGAGTACTTTAACTAAAGGAATCTTTTTGTTACGCAATTCATTTATTTCTCTAGCCAGGATATGCACTGGTTCTTCTTCATAAGTTAAATATGATAGGATCTCTATATTCTCTGGTGTGATAATATGGGACAAATCTGATCGGTATCTTTTGAGCATCGATTCATGAAAAACATTGTGGATCATATCCATATTTGGAGGCAAAGCTAATTGATATGCTATTGGTCTGACCCTTTTCAAGAACTCAAAAGGTGCAATGAATCTCGGACTCAACTTTCCTTTGCGCCCAAATCTCAAAACTTTCTTCCAAGGCGACATCTTCAGAAATACTTTATCTCCCACTTGAAATTCGATTCATTTACGTTTCAAATCAGCATAAGATTTCTTCCGATCAGAGGCTATCTTTAGATTGCCCTGAATAATTTTTATTTTCTCCATTTTTTTAATCAAATCTGGCCTAACTAGGTCTCGGTCTTTTAGTTCAAACCAATTTAATGGTGTTCGACACTTTCTCCCATAGAAAGCTTCATACGGGGCCATCTTAATACTCGATTGGTAATTGTTATTATACGTAAATTCCACTAAATGAAAATATCATTCCCATGATCCTTTAAACTCAATCACACATGCCCTTAGCAAATCCTCCAGTATCTGGATAGCTATCTTTGACTGCCCATCTATATGCGGATGAAAAGTTGTGCTGAAGTTCAATTGAGTACCCAATGCCTCATGTAACAACTTCCAGAATCTTGAAGTAAACCTTGGGTCTCGATCGGACAATATTGATATAGACACTCCATCAGTAGGATAATTTCTTTTATATACAACTCCGCATATTTATCCATCGAATAATCTACTCGAACTGGAATAAAATGAGTTGTCTTGGTCAATCAATCTATAATTACCCAAATGGAGTCCTTTTTACCTGGTGATAAAGGTAACCCTAAAACAAAATCCATGGTTACTCGCTCCCACTTCCTCTCAGGAATGGATATCGATTGAAGCAATTCGGAGGGTACTTGATGTTCATCTTTCACTTGCTGATATGTCAAACATTTTGCCACTAAATCCGATACAACTCTTTTCATACCATGCCACTAATAACGACTTTTTAAATCCTGATACAACTTATTCCTACCTAGATGCATCGTCAAAGGGCTTTAATGTGTTTCATAAAGAACATCTTTCTTCAATTCATCATTATTGGGAATACAAAGTCTTCCTCGATAATATAAACATCCATCGTCTCTTATTTTGAAGTCTTTGGTCTCTTTCTTTTCAACTTGTGCCATTCTCGAAAAACACTTCTCATCTTGACCTTGTAGCTCTTTTATCCGATCCAAAAACATCGGCTTTAACTTAAGCTCAACAATCAATGCACCATCTTCCTTTAATGACATATGAGCATCCAAAGCCCGTAGAGAGGAAAAACTCTTTCGGCTTAGTGCGTCCGCTACCACATTCGCCTTTCCGGGAAGATAATCGATAATTAGATCATAATCCTTTAAAAGTTCGACACATCTTCTTTGCCTCAAGTTTAATTCTTTCTGAGTCAACAAGTACTTTAGACTATTGTGATCCATATAAATATGGCACTGTTCCCCATACAGATAATGACGCCATATTTTCAATGCAAGAGATAATTTTTCTCATGATTCTTCAATTGTCTTGAGGCATAAGCCACAATATTTCTCTCTTGCATGAGCACACACCCCAGTCCATTATGTGATGCATCACTGAAAACAACATAGTCTTTTCCTGACTCAAGTTGTACCAAAACGGGGACCTCTGTTACTATTTTCTTGAGCCCTTCAAAGCTTTCTTGACATTTCTCCGTCCAAACAAATGGCATATCCTTTTGTAACAATTTAGTTAGCGGCAAAACTAACATTGAGAAGCTCTTTACAAATCGTACATAATAACTAGCAATTTCCAAGAAACTCCGAACTTCAGAAATATTCCTTAGGGGTTTCCAATCCACTATTGCTTGGATCTTTCAAGGATATACTCTCATGCCTTCTGTGGAGACTATGTGACCAAGGAAAGCAACTTCGACTAACCAAAATTTGGACTTTGACAATTTGGCATACAACTTCTTCTCGCGAAGTGTCTGAAGAACTACTCGAAGATGAACATCATGTTCTTCTCTTAACTTAGAATATACCAAAATATCATCTATAAATATCACCATGAATTGATCCAAGTACGGTTGGAATACTCGATTCATCAAATCCATAAATGTTGCAGGGGCATTAGTCAAACCAAATAGCATCACTACAAATTCATAGTGTCCATACCGAGTCTGAAAAGTTGTCTTTGAAATATCATCCTCTTTGATCTTTAGTTGATGGTACCCCGACCTTAGATCTATCTTAGAAAACATCGCTGCTCTTTTCAATTAATCAAATAGATCATCAATCCTCGGAAGAGGATACTTGTTCTTTATTGTTACTTTATTTAACTGGTGGTAATCGATGCATAATCGCATAGATCTGTCATTCTTTTTCACAAACAACACAAGTGCTCCCCAAGGAGAAACAATGGGTCTTACAAACCCCTTATTGAGTAACTCTTACAATTGGTCTTTTAATTCTCTCAATTCAGTCAGATCCATTCTATATGGAGCCATAGAAACAGGTTCGGTACCTAGGTGAACCTTAATCTTGAATTCTACCTCACGATCTGGAGGCAATTCCGATAACTCCTCAGGAAAAACGTCTAGAAATTCTCTAACCGTGGGAACATAATTTACTCTAACCTCTAGAATTCTAGTATCTATCATAATTTCTAGAAATGCTATGCATCCTTTCAACATCATTTTCCTTACAGTCATGGCTGATATTACATTAGATGTTGATTTCGTTATTTCACCGATCACTACGATTTTTGAACCTTCAACTCCCTTTAGAAATAAGTGTTTCTTACGACAATTGACCCATCTATAATGTGAAGACAACCAATCTATGCCTAAAATGATGTCAAATTCATCGAAGGGCAACTCCATCAAGTTTTTCGGAAACACAATCTCTTGGATCTTTATATGGCATTTTCTACATACTCTAGTTACTCTCCACTGTGACCCATAGGGTTTACCGCTATCATCTCACTCATAATTGGTTCTAAAGGGATTCCTCTAACTCTAATCAACTTTGTACTGATGTACGAGTGTGTAGAACCAGGATCGACTAAAATAAATACAAGCTCATCAAAAAGATGGAAAATACTTGTTATAATTTCAGGGTCATCCCGATCCTCATTAGTCTTAATGTTGTAAATTCTAGTGACTCCCCGAGTCTCTTGTCTCTGCATTGAATCTGATTGTTCCCTATATATGCCCCTTCCTCTTCTTCTATTTGAGGTTGCCACCGATCTTTCAGATTGCACTGAATTGTCCCCAGATTTCTTAGGATAGTTTCGAGCAAAGTGATCAGTCTCGCCAAA